TAGTGACAGACCTGGCCAGGCTTTGCTGTAGTACCCATCAGCATATGTGTGAGCCAGGTCTGGGACCAGGCAAGGTTAAGTAAAGCTGCAGCACCCATGGGTATGCACAAGAGCCAGGTATGTGTACATACTGGCACAAGCAAGAGCCAGGACAGATTGCAGATCAGGCTAGGTTGTCAGTTCACATGAGGGCTGGAATGAGTTGCACTGAACCAGGCTGCTGTACCTAGCAGTGAGAGCCATCTAGGGGCAGGCTGGCCTGAGCCAGACTATAGTACCTGCTGTCAAATGCTGAAACTGGGAGCAGGCCATCTAAGATTAGGCCACATCATCCAATGGCACCTGTAAGACCCAAATCTGGGAGTAGGCCTGGTAGGGGAACTTCAGGGACTCCTTTGCTGGGCCCTACTTCCACTGGTGAGTGTGAGAGCTGGGGTTACGGGAGGGCCAGTACCACTGGCAGGTGCAACATCTAGGACTGGGAGCAGGCCTAGTAGGGGAACTGTTGGTACTCCTTTGCTGGGTTGCAGCTCCTGCTGGTGAGCATGAGAGTCAGGGATGGGGGGCAGGTCAGGTTGGACAAGGTGGCAGCAACCATTGGCATAAGCATAAGCTGGGTCTGGGGGTGGGTCAGGCTGAGCTAAGCTGTAGCACCCATGGGTATTCATGGGAGCCAGATGGAGTATGGGATGGACCAGGCTAAACCAAAGCATATATCTGCAAAAGCAAAACCAGGGCTGGGGGGGGGGAACCTGGTGGGAGTTATTGGGGTTTATCTCGACTAAGCTCCAGCACCTGCTGGTGTGCCTAAGGACTAAGACCCATCATTATACATAAGAAATGGGGCTGGGGTGTAACTAATCAGGCAGCTGTATCCACTGGTATGTGCATTGGCTGGTGTCAATAATAGATGGAACTTGACTCTGCACTGGCAGGCACACACAAGACTCATGTCAAGGTCACCCCAGGCAAAGTTTCTTGGGGAACTCCCCAGCTAGATGACTGGACTCAAAGCCCAGCCACAGGAAAAAAAACACAATATATGTATATGCATGACTTTAGAGTGCATATATCGGGTCTGGGCCTGCTCAGTTGCTGATGCCTATATAGGGGACAGGATGTCCAGATGCACACAGGGGACATGACAACCAGCTCATCTAGGCCAGTAGTGGACACTGAATGCCTCATTAGAGGATGGAAAGCAGAACAGATTAGATAACCCTCCTGGCCAAGCTTTGCAGCCAGTGTCTAGGTCTGCAATAAGGTAGACTTGGTCAACCCGTAGACCTTGTAAAGACTTCCTGAACCCTGGTGTAAAAAAAGCTGATGTTTCAAAACTATCAAAACTACTCAAGTAATATCCTCAGAACTCTCATCTAAGGCATCACCAAATGAGCACCGCCACCCCCTGGTGTTGATGCAGTTTGATAGCAAAGACCAGCCCCCTTCCATTCAATTTTCTGTGGACATAGGAGAGAAAAAAAAGAGAATCATTGCCCTACCCACCTTCCTCCATACCTCAGCCCTCCCCATCCTAATCAGAGGCCCATATAGGTGTGCATCCCTCTCAACTATGTAAACAACATTAAAAATAAAATTAAAAATTACAACAATAAAATGAGTTGCTTACTAGCACTGGTTTGTTGAAGTGCTGAAATGTGATACATAGCTGTTTGGAACACAAAAGGACCCACCCACTCTGTGAAATAATTTAGCCGTTTCAAGTTCAATACACGCTTGCCAAATTACTCAGCAATTCTGCTCCAAGGTATTTCCACCCCCGAAGAAATTAGGATTTATTGAATAAGTTTCCTCAGGCTTGTACAACAAATTATCAGAAGCAAAGGGATTTAGCTCCAAGTTCCATATGCCAGAAGTCCCCAAACCAGGTGTTCACCAGCATGTGCTCCTTCTGCAAACTCTGCAGAGTTAATTTTGTGTTCACTTCTTCTTGCTTTAGGTACTTTGTATCTTCTTTGGCCTCCTTGGCTTATGCCTCTTTGCCTTGGTCTTCTTGTCAGCTTCTCCTCTGTGAGGCCTCCTCTGTTTATCTCTTACTTGACTCCATCACTAGATCCACCTGGGTAATCCAAGATGATCTTGTTGTAAGATTCCCTTTTCCAAATAAGATAGCATTCATAGGTTCCAGTAATTTGAACATGGGTATGTTTTGGTACCTCAGTATCACTCAACCTGCTGCACTATCCTCACACAGAGGTCTACCCATGAATGCTTATTGCACTTCAAGTCATAAATGCCAAAAGCTACAAGTAAGGGTCCTTAGAAGGATAAAACAACTGCAATACTTCCTGCAATATAATACCACTTAGCAAGAAAAAGAGACAAATCACTCACACATGCAACAACATGTTTAAATCCCAGATGTGTTGCATTAAGTAAAAGAAGTCAGACTCAAGATTCCATGATGATGCCATTAGTGGAGCATTTTGGAGAAGGCAAAATTATCAGGACAGAAGAAGACAATGGTTACTACAGGTGGAGAGATGAGAAAGCAATTGACTACCATGGGGAGCACGGGGGCTCTTGGGGGAGCAAAGGAACTGCTTCATACCTTTATTTTGATAGTAATTCCATGATTCTCTATACACCTGAAGGAGTGAGATCTTCTATAAGTGACTTGAAAACCACCATGTTTAAAAGGAGACTTTGGGGCCAGGATCCTACAAGCCTCATTGCCCTTTGCCTGCGTTTCCCCTTTAGACTCTGCCAATTGGGGGTTCCAGAGACAAGAAGGCAGGAGGAGGCAGGACCTGGGCACTCTTCGTTGTGATTTCTGATTCTTTCAGCATCACCCACAGGGTTGCCTTACTCCCTGAGCAGTCTTGTTGCAGTGTCTCTGCTGACTTCCTCTCTCTGTGGTCCGGCAATCAGCTTCAGTTTGCAGATTCTCATTTCTTCACCTCTCCTCTTTGTTCGTCCAACCCTACGGACAGTATGTGCTTCCCACAGTTTCTAGCTCTTGTACTATCCCATTGTTTCCTTTTGGCTTTCCACTTGCTTAGTCTATCCTTTACAACCACTTCTTTCTGTTACAATTATTGAGGTAGTTTGCTTTCCTGACTGGACTGGGGACACAGACTGGACTGATTGGAAGCTCAAGTTTTTTGTGTCCCACAAAATCCCACATGATCTGTGCTCTCTGTCCTTGGCCATCACTTACTCTATGTCTTACGGCCAGTTCATAGGAGTATACGTTAAATCTGACTTCAAGGATAGTCATCAGAGTTTGGAGAAATTTTATCAGATAAATCACCTAGTGTCTGTAACAAGTAAGTTGCAAGAGGGGGAAAAATGGAGGGGAAGCTTCTAGAACAGAAATTCTAAAATATACCAACTAGCAGCAATGTTGAGACTAAAGGTGATATTAAAATTTTTAAATTACCACTATTTACTTTAGCTTCTAAGTGGGATTATTGATATACATGAAGAGTCCTCCAAATGTAGAAATATTCATAAGAATATTTAAGGATCATTAATGTAATAATGTCAATGGGGTACGGGATTAGAACGGAAATGGATGTAATAAAATTGACCACTGGTCATTGCTGAAGCCAAGAAACAGGTACAAAGATTCACTGTATTATGTAAAGACAAGGTTGTTGGTGTAAAATTCTACTTGTGTTTACATAATCTAGGCATTTATTATGTCAGGCAGTGGGGGCAAAGCATGGCCCATAGGTGTCTGCAAAATGTGACAAGACTGTTAAGAAGTATAAGCTGCAGTGATTTCCACTGCAAGGCCTGAAAGTCACTGGAGAAGCTTCCATTGTCTGTGTGTGTGTCCATCGGGTCTCCATACCTCCATTGCCTCAGACGTAAAGTGGAACAGTAAGATCTACCCCATTGTTTTGTCACACAGGTAAATTCACAGGTAAAAAGCATTGCCTTAGCATATCATCTGGCTCACGGCAAGTACTCAAAAGGCATGAATGATTATGTTACCACTATTATTACATACGAAAATAAAATAAAACACAAGGGTCTTAAACAAATGTATCCAAAATATGCTTTTAATCTTGATGAAGTTCACAAATGGCACAATATTGACATTTCCTTAGACAAATTTTAGAATCAGGTTCTTAGACATCAAGGCACAGCATCACCATGACCATGTGTCCCCAGAGGCCACAGAGGCAGTGATTTCACGTCTCCCCAAAGATTGGCAGAGCTGCCATGGTCAGCAGGATGGCTCTCAAAGAACCAGTTTGCTACCAGATAAGCCCAAGAGAGATGCCATCGTATTTACTGGACATAGAATCAAATACAAAAGTGATATACAACAAATATGGAATTAACTCATTTGGCATTCAGTTTCATTCCTTTCCAGTGACAAAGGTGGTGCTTTTTTTTTTTTTCAGTATCTATTAGGATGCAAACATGTATGTCTTCCATGGGGCATTCTCATCAAGCTGTGGTCAACAGAAATGAATAGAAGTGGTGAGTTCACGGTAACCTGAGATGAGGAAAAACGAAGGAAAAAGACAGCAGAGAGGAGCAAAAGAATAAGTGCAAGATAGACAAGAAGTGAATAATCACAATTATCACTGAGGGCAATTTTTAATTTACAGAAGTGCTTCTTTAATGGTATTGATGAGTTATGGTATACAATATAAGCAGGCTTACAAAGCAAATGAAGACGAAAAATAAATTTAACTGTGATTATTCGGGTCAGTGTGAGTCTGAGTCTCTGACAGCTGATCAGGAGCTAAGCCTTTCGGACCCTTGTTTTATTCATGGGTGACCCTGGTTGAAGTTTGTGAGCCGCTCTTTGAAAGGGGTCCTGACATTCTAATTTCAAGGTCAGTTCTTCAAGGGACTCACTACCTCAGGGGGCAAAATGTTAGCAAGAAGCAATGGACTTGAAGAACTCAACCTAGTCACTGGGCTTCAAAATGAGCATCTTAATCCCTGAATCCCTTCCTGCCCCTGTCCTGTAGTATAAGGGCAGCCTCACCTTCTTCCCAGAGTCACCCAGCTGCTCAGGCCCCGAGATCCCTGCGACGCCGGCCAAAGGTGTTGGAGCCCACATCAGTGGGCACATAGTTACCCTTCACAATTCCCCCAGACCTGCTCAGCAAGCCTGCCAGCCGCTGGGTCACACAGGTGGCAGTGTTGCAGCCTCTCTTCTGAGCACTGCTGCTGCTTTACAGGATGCAAAAGAAAAAGGAGACCTGTCAGTGGGAGGCTGGGAGAGGTGTCTTCCCTTCTGGATTCTCATAACCAGAACTGAAGCTCTTCAACACACTACTTAACAATAAGTGTTTCTCCTAAATGTGATTTTCAAAGCTGTTAGGAGAAATGGCTGGCAGCTACATCCAAAACCCATCATGTGCACATGTGTATGTGGGCAAACACACTCACACGGCACTTCTCAGCCAGGGGGTTATGCTGAGGCCCTGGGGGAGGGGGGAGTGGCAAGGCCCATCCCACCTTATGACATATAAGGAATTTATAGAGATTATCTTGCACCTACCAGCCAACAAAAACACTCTCTATGGAAAGATGCAATTTCTTTGAAGCCTTGCTTAGAAGGAGCTCATAGAAAAGGTTCAACTATACCCTCTTTCAGAAGTGGTTACCTGCTCCTTAGCACATTGCTTCTGCTGCTTGCATGAGGTCATGGAAATCAAGCACACCATCACCACCACCCCCCCGTGTGTGTGTGTGTGTGTGTGTGTGTGCGCGCGTGCGTGTGTGTGTGTGTGTGATTCTGACCTTCAACAGCTCAATAAACCAGTCTTCAGAATGGGTGCATATCTGAAGGTCCAGAGCTACTTCAAACACTTCTGCCTGACTCTAACCTCCACATAGCTTCTGCCTTCACTTTGAAAAGGGTGAAAGGAATGTTTGTTGCAGGTGCAAAAGAATGATATACACAGGGGCTACTTCACAAACCTCCAGAGGCCCCATGTACAGGCGCTAGCTTCACACTCACCAGTAATAATTCACCCAGTGCTGGGAGGTCTCCCCAGTGCTACAAGACATACTTCCAAATTGAGCCGTTACATATACCCTCATTTTATTTCTTAATCCCTTCCAGAAGCATGTCTTTTTGCTGGGTCTGACCACCATCCCTCCAGCTGCAACATGGAAGCTGACAACCACTGGGTCCCAGGTCCTGATGGATAATGATAGCCTGGGCATGCGTGCTCTCTGGGATGTGTCCTCTAGTCAGGGATTGGTGGGCAGTCTTACCTGAAGCCTTGTGCTGCTGGATCCTGTTCCAGCTCACTGAGTTTCAACTGCACATAGTCCTTCATCAGTGCAGCCAGCAGGAGGCGCGCTTCCTCTTCACTGACTGTGACTAGATCTGGGTTGCTTTCCAAGGCTGACCTGTGGAGCACAAGCAAACCCACTGGGAGTTGTGAGACTTTGCATGCCCCCTATCCCGTGAAAAGCAGCCAGGCTTGCCAGTGCTTGCCTCTTCCTCTGAGCTTGTGGTTGCCCTGAACCCCTCCCCCCACCCCCACTCTCCAAGTGGACAAGGCATGAGGCCAGTTTTCACCTAAGGGAGTGAAGCTTGAGAGGCACGGGACAATCTGATCCCAGGGTCAGAGGGAGAGTGCGCTGCCGCTTAGGGCTGGCTCACCTGAAGGGCGCCGCCTGGAGGCCGCCTGCCTGGCACAGGACCAAGATGCTGAGAGCCAGGAAGGGGCAGAATCTCCCGAAGCCCATGACGCCTTTCTGTAAAGGAAGAATGACGTTACCAATGCACCAAGACCACTGATGTAGGTTCTAGTCTCTGCCCTGCCAGACCTCGGGCCGCACTGCACCTTCCCGTGCCTGCGTTCGGGTTATTGACCAGACGGTTGCCGTCAATCTCCCAAGATGCATTACTGCAAGCAGCATGGCAGAGCAGAGCAGACACCAGCGCCACTCTGGAGAAGCGGGAGTTTTGGATTTGAATTCTGTCCCGTGGGAGACCAAGAGAAGCCACGTGTGCCCAAGCACAGAAACCAACACTTTACACCCAGATCTATGCAGAAGCCAAGTGCGGACTCACCCTAAGGCAGACTTCCACCCATCTTTCTCCATAGAATCAAAGTTGCGAGACGACTTTCCCCTCATGTGCGTGTAAGATGCGAGGGGTAGATGGGAAAGAGCAAATTTTGCAGCCTGAAGGTTTCGAATTGGAGACATTTCTTACGTATCAGGTACAGGTGTCTCCGGACTGCCACCCCTGCCAGCGCCCTGCAGGAACTCAGGCTAGGAGCAGGTGGTGGGCGCCCACCGGTGGAGATGCACCCGTTCCTGCAGTCGGCAGACAGCCCTGTCTCAAGTTCATGGACAAGACATTGCGGACAGGGGCACGTCTCAGAAGAAAGTTCCGGTCCTCACTGCGCAGGGGACTGATCATAATCCCCAAAGACACAGATGGCGTGGACACTTTTGCCCTAAACTTGCACAGGTTTACAGATCCATCTACCTGAGCTCGCAGATCATCCAGTACCCATATCAAGTATGCTCCAGGTTCAGCCGGCACGGACTAGGGGGAAACACCCGGGAGAACCCCAAGCCAGGAAAAGAGCCAGGACCAACCTGCAGCATGCAGGGCCAGAGGACCGAGGTGAGAAGGAGAGGAGGATGAACAGAGCCAAATGAAAGGATTAATAAAGCAAGCAGGATGATAGAGTAATCCAATGGAAACTTTCTCACCTGGTGATGAGAGGCAGCACAACCGACAGATCCACCTGAGATGAACACAACTCCAGCTGCAAGGGCCTTCCCAGCGGAGCCCCAGGCTCTTATTGCAGTGACCTCGGGAGGGGAGTGTCCCTACCAGCAGGGCGGCCAATCCAAAGTGGCCAGGACCAGCCAATCAGAGGCCCGACCGAGCTCTGATGGCGTCATCGCTGGCGCTTCCCGCCTCGGGTTCACCGGCAAGGGAGCCGTGGACTCCTGCTGTCATTTGCTTGAGGTCATTGCCCGGGAGCCAACGCCACCCAGAAACTGGGGATAGTGGAGGAGGGGCAGAGGAGTTCTGTGTCATCTAAACTGAGGGACCAGAGCTTCTGTTGCCTCCCAGGAGCCTGATGCCCCCTCACCGCCTCGCCAATGGGACCCCTGAGGCTAGTCACCTGGACCCCTCCTCCGCCCCTGGCACTGAACAGCAGTCCTGGATTCTAAAGTGATCTCACTGAAACAGTAAGAGAGAAGGCATGGTGGGGGGATGGATGCGGACCTGGAAGATGGATGCCTTTGAGTTATCTGGGTGTTCCCAGGGTATCCCTCTGGAGAACGCGAGGCTTAGGACCCAGGATCCCAAAGAAGGCTGCTTTGCTTCCTCTCTGGCAGCTGAGACTGGGAGAGAATCAGAAGGCACCAACAGGGGACTAAGCGGTGCGCGCCGCCTGCTCAGAGAGCCAGGCATCCCCCGACCCTGCCCTCCCCCAGTGCCGAGACCCTCCATTGCAGCTCTCAGAGTTGGATCCCACAGGTGTGCCTGGCGCCTCTGGGCTGTGCTGGCGGAGCAGCCAAGCTCCAATGTCCCAAATCCAGGTTTTTAATCTGTTGCGCTCTACATCCCCACCCCACGTTCCTGAAACATCTGAGAGCTTAACATCCCAGAGTCCAGGGTACATCAGCAGGTGGGGAAAAGGTGCTGCCACTGGGGGTGTGGCCGGCGACTTACTCACACACTCCCCTAGCAGTGTCAGGCACTCGCATGCCTGGACCATCGCCTCTGCACCTATTCTGCGTTTCCCATTCGTACTCACACTCCCGCAGCTCCAGTGTTCGCTGTGATGCGCGCAGCGCGCCTCTGCAGCCACTTGCAAAAGGGCGCGTGAGCGCGCACCAACCACGCCCAGACCCTGCAAACTCCGGTGTTTCTGCTTTCTGGCATAGGCGTGCCTTTAGTGTGCTATCCAGCACACTGGAGCACTGGCACACACGGCTCCACGTCCGTCAACTCACCTCTCTCCCTTTACTCTAAAGGAAAGGTGCTTCCTCAAAGTCTGCTCCGCGCGCTCTCCCTGTTCCCTGGTCTGGGGGAGATCCTAGCTCTAACCCCATGGGCTGGGGGTGGGGACAAAGGGAGGAAGGGAGGAAACTCCCACTCCCCGAGCCTGGGACCCTTGCTCTACCCCTCACTCAAAGCAGTCACCTGCAGGAAAGGCTGGGATGGCACTTTCAACCACCTCTCCAGGGACAGCAGTGTGAGTGAAGCCAGAGGCTGGCGGATCCCCACGGCCAGTGCTCACAAGAAACTCAGGTGTATCTGTCTAGTCCCTCCAAAAACTCACACTTCTGGGACAGAACCTTACTGGTGGGGCCCCACTGGTGGCTTGACCTCCAGCAAAAAAAGTAATGCCTCCACGGGGGAGGAGGGGGGCTGCATCCCCACGGCGCAGGGTGCTCCTAGGTACCGTGGCTAGCAGCCACACTCTCCCCTGAGGGAAAGCAGGTCTCCCAGGACCTCCAGCACCCGCACACCAGAATCCCTGGCCCTGGCTCTCTCTACCCAGCTCTTGCCCAAAGCAAGTAGGGTTCGTTGAGTCTACATTCTTGGGGATGCAGCGAAGGAAGGGTACATAGTGGCCCTCTTTTAAATGCATGGAGTCCTAAACCTTGCAAATGCTAGCCTAGTTCCGGCTAGTGAAAAGGGCTGCCTAGGGGTAAAGCACAGCCCGCCTGAGGCATCTCCCCCGCCCTCCATACTATCAGAGGTCTGTAACAGCCCCGGGTGGGAGCTACCCTCTGGTAGGCTCTGGGGAGGCATGGGTGGTGGCTAGAGAGAAGGTGAGGGAGGCACAGGGCTCTGGTATCCTGTAGATACTGTGGGGGGAACACAAAGCACAGAAAGCAGGCAGGGAGCACAAACCCGATTGGTCTTTGGACTGCTGGGAAGCCTTTTAATATCAGCTTGGAGAATTCTATAAACTCTTAGGGCTGAGGGCTGGAAAGCCTGGACTGTCTCCAGAGATCCTGATTGTGCCAATAGGACTCTTGACCACCATATTGGCACCGCAAAGGGACACAATCTCAGGCTGCGGAGCCTGCTCTGCCGGCGGGTGCTTAGTGTCTCTTAACACATGCCAAGCTCCTGGTGCTTTCTACCCAGGCCGCAGGATTCAGATCTAAGCACTCTGAAAAGAGCTTGAAGACCCCAAGAGAAAAGGGACAATTTCACCACCCACTTACTTGGTTCCAGGAGTTGACTGTCTTCTCGTATGCCTCTGCAGGAGACTGGCCACGTCAGCTCCGAGCACCCAGAAATGTTGGACCTGGGTCTTCTTCCTCTATCAATGCCTTTGCATAATGTACAGCACACAGTGGGAGCACAGCAAATGCTTGGGGAAGGAGCAAGGCGGTGAAAGAACGGACAGTGGCAGAGCAGGATCAGCCTGAGAGTCAGACAGTAACTTCACAGCCAGCTGTGAATGCAGTGTAGACGTAATTTAGATCCATTATAAGGGAGAGCAGAAGTGCAGTCAAGGGCACACCCCTTCTTATGTATGAAAAGGAATCCAAGTCCTGGTGAAAACTTTCTGGAATCTAATGTAAGCGTAAGTGTAGAGAGTTTGTCTTAGGTAGTCCACGGCTTTGAAAAGCAAAACAAGGTCGTTTCCCTCTGCTCATGTTTGTATTATATTAGTGAGTGAATGGGAGGAAAAGTCGATAAAATGATTTGCCTTCTAAATTGAGACAATTGAGTCCTGGTTTCCCTGGAAATGTTCTGGGCTTCAAGGTATCTCACTAGCCTAGGTGGGGTGGCTTCCTGGAAGACACGTGGCTTTGAAAATCATCTCTTAAATGTTTTGATGCTCAATTCAAGTATTTAGGTAATATACCTTAAAATTTTGATGGCAGTCTTAAAATTGTTATGGAGAAATAGGTGCCTCAGACTACAGCTTTGGAAGCTGATTTTTATTTATTTTGACATACTTCATTTTCTTAGCAAATTGCCCAGAAGAATTTCCCTTAGGAACAGTTTCATTCATTCAGGACCTACTACATGCCAGTCATCATCCAGACATTGGAAACTGCCAGTGTGCAAGCAGATCTCCTGCCTCCAGTCCTTTCAGAGTAGCGTACTTAACAAGAGTCTCTGAACACAACAGCTCTCCCTTCATGAAGTACATCCTACCTTAATCCACACATATCCGTCTGTCAAAGATACTCGGAGTGTACGTTAAGACTATAAAAATGTAATTTCTACCTGAATCACAAAGTGTATTCAATTGTATTTCCTTGCTTGCTTGCTTGTTTTGAATATTTTTATTTCCTTGAATAAAATTTCCCTAGTTTTCTTCTCCCTGTCACATATGAATCCCTTTTTTTCCAGGTCCTATTTGTGCCTCACTTTGGTGGATTGATGTGATTGACAGCTCATCTGGGAAGACTTCTGAGGTTGGAAACTACTTTTACTCAGATTTTTGGAAGTATTCACTATGTTCTATCTACAGTGTGACTACTGGAAAACACCAAGTTTTTGCTTTCTCTTTTTCATTACTATTATTCCTGTTGTTACAGACTCTCTGTATCCTCTCATCAGTGTTCTAGAAGATCATGGTGATGTCCCTTGGTGTGAACTGTCTGTTGTTCTGAGCACTGAGGCAAACCTTACAACATAAAAGTTCAGGTCTTTCACTTCAGGAGAATTTTTTTATGCCTTGCTTTTAGAAAAAAAAATCTCTTTTTTTTTGAGATGAATTCAAGTTTGGGGGAGTTGCGGG